TTATTTACTGTTTTGATTACACCCTGTAATGGAGAAAATACACTTATTCCCTATTTTCATTACACCCTGTAACGGACAGGTTGAACATAATCATAACCATACAAAGTGCACAACATAACCATACAAACTGATTACACAGATTACACAGCTCTGCTGGACAAAATGAACAAAATAACCAAGTTCCATTACATAACCATATAACCATACAAAATTAACAAGTCCAGTTAACCATACAAAGATATAGTTTACCTAACCACATAACCATACAACCTGCCACTAGCTGCCATGGGTCGCAAAAATTACAAAAATATTACATTTTTATAACTAACACGATCCCAATTACAAGCAAGATACACAACCCATAAATACGACTCGAATTTTGATTTATGTCTGTTTCCAACTTAAGCATCTTCGCCCTCATAAATTGCAGTTCTTCGCTTTGAAATCGAAGTTGTTCATTCATAAGTCGAAGTTGTTGTTCGGTGATAGTTGACATATTTTCCATTTGCACTACTCCTTCACGTCTACCTTGTGAATTTGTAGGCAAGCACCATCCCATAAAATCGCCGCAATTTTTACAACAATAAAATAATTTGTTTCTGTTTTGTTCCGTCTCCGAAATTTGAATAGTTGCTTTCTTATGACATTTAGGGCAATTTCTGTTGTTGAACGTCAACTGATCTGAGGTACCTCCGTTAACAGTTGAACTTGACATCTGCAAAATTATGCACACAATTCATAGTAAAGTTATATACACATTCAACTTCAATCATATCATTCCTACATACACCTACTTTTCAATCTTTTGGTTTTTGCTTTTTTTTGTAAAAAAAAAAAAAAAAAACTCTTACGTTGTCCTAAACAGGAAGGTTATTAAAAAAACTTGTAGGTTGCCCTAAACAGGAAGCTCTGACACTTCCCTCAAGTTAGGGTAAATTTGCTATATTTACATTTGCATATGTATGCATGCATCCAAGCATAAATTATATCTATCAGATCTAATTAATTGCACATTTCATTTAATCAATAAGTGCACTTGACAAATGGATCTATACTTGCATTAATAACTTCAAGATAACTTCAAGATCCAAACATATTGTTGAAGTTATGTATGCCAAACATATTTATAAATTAAAAAAAGAAAGAAGTTATGTATGTCAAACATATTGTTGAATGATTGTGAACTTGTGATATCTCAGTTTGTAATCTAAATCCTTAAACTGGCATTCTTTACTTGAAATCTACCAACTTAACTGTTTGCTCATTCAAAAAATAAAAATAAAAATATTCTCACTTTTTTGCAGACTACCTTTTCCAGAACTGAATTTGAGGGCTAGGATGATCAATGCATGATAGCTTTGGTAAGTAATAAGATAGTATAGGGTTTGAATCATTGTTTTCAATATATATATGATGTGTATCAGTGTATGTTTTGAATTCAGATTCAACTTCTCTAGCATTCAACAAGTAAAATTTCACAATCTGTATATTTGAGAATTTAAGTTTTGGATGGTTGGTTTTTGTATGTAAATAAAGTAAAAGCATTAAGAATCTGAGGTGAGCTAAATGGAGATTTATAGTAAGTTAATGAGCATTCAAGCACATATGATAAATGGAGGTGCCAAGCAACATCTGCAGCAACTGTTAATGTTGCCCTAGATTGGTACAAAAAGAGAAAAAATTGAATAAAATATTAATGAAATATAGTTACATTTCACTTACATTTCACCCACCTTTTCTTTTTTCTTTTACTTTCCCTTTCCAAAATCCATAATCCAAACACAGTGTAAAAATCCTTTTCTGTTCCTATACAGTGAGATGACCATAGACAAGAATTTATGGCTCAACAACAGTTAAACTTAATGCTTCTTTGCCTCGCAAAATGTAAATTCATTCAACTTTCCAAATTGAAAAACAATCAAATTTCACTTCTAAAGCAATTTCAATTTCAATTTCCATTTCCATCAGTCAATCAATATAAAGAAAGCCTGAAGTTATAACGCAGGTTCAGAATGCTTTTATGCTTCACAATTTCAAATGCAAATTGAAAAACCAAACACAGGTCGAGACAGATAGGGAGACCTTTTTGCCGGAATTGTCGAGGAAGAAGACTCGGAAGTCTAGGGTTTGAGGTTGGCCTTCTTCCTTGATGTGAATATCAGGCTTGTAAAGAGCAGTGCAAGTGAAGGACCTCCTCTTAGGAACCAATCTGCTGTTGTTATTGGTGTTGAAGCAGAGACTTAGGCCGTTGGATCTTCGCAATGGACCTCTGAACAGTAAAGCAGTGGTGGTGGTGTTGGTTGAGACTACTGTGGCTATCACTCTAGTGGCCGCCATTGCTGCTGAGTTTGCGACTCAGAAAGAGTCTCGTGGTGGTGACTTGACTTGAACCACAGAGGGAGCTGATCGATCGTATCGTATTGATAGATTGGCTCTTCTGCTCTTTTATTCCACGTCACTCATCTCTCGTGACTCATGAGGTACTCCATTATTTGGGCCTAGGCCCCATTAGTAATGGCTCATTACATCTTCATCAAATTAATTAAAATTTATTTTTTCTAACAAATTCTTTATTTTTTTATTCATTTTAATTAGAATTAATTTTTTATAAACTTAACATAATTAATTTCAAAGCATAGAAAAGTAATATTTTTTAATGTTTAATTAGGTGAAACCACTAGTTACATTTATTAAGTCAAAACGATCAAAAGTAAAATCACTCACTTGGTGTTTGAGAACAGGTTGTTTTTAGTAATTTTTTAGTTTTTTTTGGCTAAAATATAATATAAAAAACTAGTATGTTTGGGATGATTTTTTGATTTTTTACAAAAAGATGTGTAAAAAGTAGAAAGAAAATGATTTTTTAACTTTTTGGTGTAAGTTGTTAGTATTTTGATTTTTTAGTGATTTTTTGACTTTTAAGTTAAAAAGTGATATTGCCAAACGATGCCATAAAAGTGAAATTTTGTAATTTATTCACTATTTTAACTAAAGAATGAAAATAACTAATTTGATAAATATGCTCTAATATTTTATGATTGTCTTATTGGAAAATTTTGTAATACACTTATGTACGGGGAGCAAATATTCAGGCGTGCCCGTATTCCTTTCTTCCAAGCTCCGTCGATATCCGATCACCTGCGAGCAAATAACGGGGAGCTACCCGGCGGTGTGTGGCCGGAGAAACCCTCCGACGGTCAAGTTAGCACACACCTTAGAGGGAATAGAGAGAAGGGAGAGTGTTTGAGTGTAAGAAATTCCTTACAGAGTGTCCGTGTGTCGCGTATGGGGGGCGCAGACATGCTTATATACCTTCTGAGCCCCATATCCACTCCCAGTCATCTCCTGACACGTGGCTCTGCTATCTCATCTGTCAGCATAAACCATGCCATTCATCACCTAACCTCAACTGCCTGACTTCACAGCTGGAGCTCGGCAGCCGAGCTGCTCTACCTCGGCCATGTCATGCTTCATACTCATGCGCCTAGGCGGACAAACATGTGGAAGACCGGGCCAGGCGGCATCTCGGCAAAGCCTAGCCCGGGCTCCTCCTTTGGTTGGCCTTCCTGCCGGTCAATCAACTACCCCGGCTGACCGCGCCTTTCCGGGCGCCGGTCTCTCAGCCTGTCTGGCTTCGACAATCCTCGGACCGAGTATCCTGGTCTGACCGGTCACTTCCTGGTCGAGCAGCTTCTGTACGGTCCGGGGCGGCACACACTCGGTCCAAACTCTGCCCGGCCCAAGTTCTGGTAGCCCATTTCCAGGCGGATAGTTGATCAGCTCGGCCCCATACACCGTTGGGCCCTCAACCTGCTCGGCCATCACCTCGGCCCAACTCCAGATCATAAATTACCCTCTCAATTGCCCCTTAATTCCGTCCGCGGAAGCGTGACTGGGATTACTCACTTCGACCGAGATAATATTTCTCCGGTCGTCAAGACGCCAAGCCTTCACCGAGCTAATCTGCTATCCTCCCCCGGTCATGTTCCTCGGCTTACAGCCTTTTCGTCGAAAGTAGCTCGGCTGGCTCTTCGTCTCTTCATCCCGTCGCTTCAATCCTGACGTAGCCATAAATGGGGACACGTGGCGAGCTCCCATTGGTCATCGAGAAGCCAACCCGCCGTTCTTGTCAGATTTTGAATTTGGGCGGTCTCTCATGCTTACAAATACATGACCCCCATCATTCCATTTCTTCCTACTGTTGCTTTTCTTCCTGCCGTTGCTTTTCTTCCTGCCGATTCAGTGGCTCAAGCCATTACCTCAGACTGCTTGAAGGATCAGGTCCTACTCTTCACTGGTAAGTCATTCCACCCTCATTTCGTTGCTATTTTCTCTCATATTGCACATATTAGGGCACTAAAACGTAGCATTTAGGGCAAAGGCCATAGAATCTGCCCCAAACCCCCCACTGTTCTTGGTGTTCTTCGTCTTCCTGAAGAACGCTGAAGAACTGGGGTGAACCGGGCTATGGGCCTTCTTTTGATCCAAAAAACTAACCAAACCGGGCAAACAGCATGTTTGTCTCAGCCCCAGCGAAAACCGAGATAACAAAAGGACTTGGCCGTTCAACCGGGCTAACCTCTGGTCCGCTTGGGCGACCGGGCTCCTTAGATAGAATAGACAGCCGAGGTGGTGTGGCACCCTAATGACCGAGCTAAAATCCAGCACCTTTCGCGCGACCGCGCTAACACTTAACACTTGCCATCCTTTTCCTGCAGAGTCCAAGGGGACCACTGTCATTCCTGAGGCTCTCAGGACCGGGCAACATCCAATACACAGAGCCAAACCCCTCAGCCGGGATACACTAAGCCGGCCAAAAATGGGGAAGTTCCGCTTCCTAGTGGATACTCCGGCCGCGCTCGCCGCTTTCAGAGAGGAGTACGGCGTCCCGGCCGACGTCCATCTCGAGCTGGCCGAGGAAGAGACCACGCCTTGGGGTAGGGAGGAATGCCCCTTCACCGTGCTATCTATTGTCGAAGGGGGCCTTCGTTTCCCGCTCAACCCTCTTATAACCGAGTTCCTCCGCCGCACCGGGCTGGCACCCACACAGGTGTCCACCAACACTTATAGAATAATCAACGGCGTTCACGAATTGAACAAACGGCTAGGCACCAACTTAGGCCTAGCCGAGATATTGAGGCAATACACAATGGGCCACACCGGTGACGGCCTAGCTTACTACTTGAAAATAAGACCGGGCAAGGAAAAGATCATAACCGGCACCCCGAATAAAGACATGCACGACGACGATTTTTTCTGGGTGTCCGGCAACTACGAAACAGCCGAGGTACTGGGCTGGTCTATAAACAAAAACTTCGGTTCTTCATGTAAGCCGCTCACCTTGCTCGGTTGGTCTAACTCTTTACTCTGCATCTAACCGGTTTTCCTGTTTCCTTTGCAGCAATCCAAGCCTTACAAGCCAACTATCAATTCCCAAACGTCGAGGCAATTCGGGCCGTGCTTAGGTACCGTCACTGAGATTGTAACGAACTGCTCGGCTACACCCCGACTTACAGATATTCAGCTCCGCGCCGGAGCAGAGTAACTGACTTCCTCAGGGCTCCTTCGCCACCCCCAGATCCTACCCTTCCAGACGTACCACTCATTCGCCTGAACGAGGAACAAGAGATGGCAAAGCGCAGCAGAATCAAAAACCTTCTAACCGCTACCTCAGCCGAGATACCGAGCGTCACCACCCGCTCCCCGGCTGCCGGTCAATCGAGTGCAGCCGTGGTAGCCCTTGCTTCTCCAGCTCCAGCTGCCGGGCAATCTGCCAGAGAAGCGCGCCGGGCTGGAAAAAGACCAAGGGCAGATCCCTCCGCCGAGCTCGTCGCCGAGCTGACAACCGAACACCCAGCTGAAACTCCTGCTCCCGTGCCCGTTTGGCGTCCTTAGCTGAAGCACCGGGGACAGGACATCCCGGCAACGGCTTCGATCAAGGCTGACAAAGAACATTTGCTCGCCTTCGATCTCTCCAAAGCATTTCTCCTACCGGGCGATGTGGTCGGCAGCGACCACGTCCCTGACACTCGGCTGGTGAAATCCTCAGTCAAGTCCATGGCCAGGGTAAGTCGGCGTTCTTCTGAAAATTTCACGAAGTGTTTGCCTGGTACTTTTTCTGCTCGGTCTCCTTTCTAATCTACTTTGCTTTTGTGCAGGCCATTCAAAAACAACATCTCGTCTTGGAGCGCATCCACCGGCTTAGGCAAAAGGCAAACGACACAGCCAGCCAGGTAGAGAGCCTTCAAGCCGAGCTCGGCCGGGCTAAGGCTTCCCTCCAGATAGCAAACGCTGACAATAACAGACTGCTCGGTCAGCTGGATGCAGCCGAGAAAAAACAAAGTGAGCTCCAGGCCGAGGTTGACACATTGAAGAAGACGAAGAGGAAGGCTTGCCGGGCTGCCAACAACGCCGGGTTCAACGAGGCCGAGCAGAACTATAAGAAGCAGGTCTTTGCCACACAAGACATCTACTTCAAGGCCGGTTGGAAGTCCGCCTGCGAACATCTCGGCCAAGGCTCTGACACCGACGTATTTGCCAACCCTCCTTCAGCTTCTCTACCGGTCTACCTTGTGCCATACGCAAACGACGTATTCAGCGCTCTGCAAGCGGAGGCCGAGGAGGGACTTGAAGATGGAGAGGAAGACACAGATTCGGAGGCAGAGAAGGCCGAGGTGCCAGAACAGCCCGGCGGTGCTGAGCCCGGTGCCCAAGAAGTCAGCCCTACCGTCAACCTTGACGCCGGCGAAGACGAGTTCACCAATCTTTCCCCCCTAGTTTAGTGTTCTTTTTCCTTGTTTTTGCATTTTTGTTTCCAACTCTTTTAATGTAACCGGGCTCTGTCCCCTCCGTTTGTAATGAATTTCTTATCAATGAAAAATTTGAATTTTTGCAAGTGTCTGCACGGTTGTAATTAGTTCTGTCTTCAGCTAATCATCTCGGTAAAACTCATCATTTGAACACTTTGTCGACCGGAATACATAACACGGTCGGAGCACCTCAGCAGAACAAGACCAATTCATGAACCGAAATAGCCACCTCGGCCGTAACAAAGTCGAACAAATCAACACTTCCAGCCGGGGTACATCATCTCGGTTGGGAATCCCAAGTTGGACAAAACTATTCCAACCGGAATTTATCAGCTCGGTTGGTCATCCGAAGTTGGACAAAACACCAACTCTCCCAACCGGAGTATATCATCTCGGTTGGGAATCCGAAGTTGGACAAAACACCAACTCTTCCAACCGGAGTACATCATCTCGGTTGGGGATCCGAAGTTGGACAAAACACCAACACTCCCAACCGGAGTACATCATCTCGGTTGGGGATCCGAAGTTGGACAAAACACCAACTCTTCCAACCGGAGTACATCATCTCGGTTGGGAATCCGAAGTTGGACAAAACACCAACTCTTCCAACCGGAGTACATCATCTCGGTTGGGGATACGAAGTTGGACAAAACACC